TCACTGCGAGAATCCAGTGAACAAATCAAAGTATCATTATCAGACTCGTCAGCAACATTAGCAGTATTTTTACCTCTTTGATTATTCTCATTCTGCTCCTTTCTTGGTGCCTTGCAGTCCCGCTTCTAGTGCCCCTTCTGACCACAGTTCCAACAACCCTCATCTCCACCACCAGATTTACTTCGGCCTCTGTTTCTCGAATACGATTTTCCCTTGCCCTTTTTATTGCCTCTCTTATTCATAGCCCTACTTCTCTCCTCCGTATTGAGTGCTGAACCTAAAACAACATCCTCACCCGATACTCTTCTCTGAGCCTCTTCTCTTAGTATCAATGCCACAATATCCTCAAATTTTATCTTTGCAGACCCGGAAGAATTGCTTACTGCCACGACAAGTCCATTCCAACTTTCCGGCAGACTTGATAAAAGGACAAGAGCTCTAATTTCATCATCAAAAATAATACTCACGGATTCTAACTGATTCGTAACCGTATTAAATTCGTTGATATGTTCAGCAACAATAGTGTTTTCAGACATCTTTAGATTAAATAACTTTTTCATAAGATATACCTTATTCACCGCTGAAGGCTTTTCGTACATCTTTTCTAGGGTTTTGAACAAATTTGATGTAGTCCTTTCTTTGGCGATGTTCGATGCAACTGACGGCGCTAGGCACAATCACACAGTCCCTAGGGCTTTGCAATCTAGAACATCCCACTTTGCTTGCTCCATATCCGCTGGCTTCTTCCCATCAATAGGTTGATAAAGATCCTTCTGATACAGAATATCCTCCATCTGCATCTTCCAAAACGCGTAGTTCGTGCCATTGAATTTTTTGATCTTAACTTTGTCTTCTGCCATTGTGTAAACCCTTGACCTCTTAACCTAGAGCTCTGATACCAGTTGTTGGGATTTAACAATAATTTAAATCCACTAACAAACACACACAATCGAAGAACAAATCAAGAATATAAAGCAATAAAAAACAAGAAAGAATAAGACACAAATTTTACGTGGTTCGGCAATTTGCCTACGTTTACAAATCTGTAGGGATTTCACTATTGAGAGAGTTGAATACAGATAGCGGCTGTACAATCCACCATATTTAACCATAATCACCAAAACAACGGGTTTTATATGTCCTACGAACTAGGCTATATAACGGGCCCAAAAATTTTTCTCAGGCCTCCACAAGGCTTTTCCATGAGCACTACGGCTTGGGCCTATCAGTCCAAGCTTTCACTCCATGGACTAAGCCTAAGAAAATTTTTCATTAAAAAACCATACAACATTACTTCGGGTCGGGTCATCATTCGAATCACATATACAAACTAGACTCCACAAAAAACCAACATACGTGACTGATTATCTTTCGTCGTTTTCCTGATTTTGTCATGTGGCATTTTTTTAATGCATGTCGGACGCTACTGAATATTAGTAAGGTTTTATATTGTATGTTGAAACAACAGTGAGTCAGTTTTGCATATTTTGAAGAAATGTTATTGGACTAAGAAGTTTGGGGAAGACAGTTTATTATATGATGTTATACAATTTCCTGGTAATCGGGCTAACCATTGGCGGTTGGAAATATCCCAGCGATAAGTTTCCAACTTTTTTTGGTTTTCTTGGTACAGTGCTGGTTTATCTGGCTCCATAAAAATGGGGTCCTTTTTGACAACGTGAAAAAGATCTACTCTATTAAATCAATATGTTGTGACGTACGTTGAAAGATATTGGGCGAAAATCAATCAGTCACTCAATGGCACCCACAAGCTCAAGTTCTTTTAAAGTTCACTTTGATGGGGCTGTTTCTACCTCAGAAGGGGCTATCGAGATTGGAATTGTGATTTGGAATGAGAGTGGCATATTCGTTGCGGGACTGTCCAAGAAGGTTCTGGCCATTTGCAAGGTGAAGACCACTGATATTTATGCAGCAAGAGCAGTAGTGTCGTTTGTTATGTGCAATATAGATGTGACGAAGTCATACTGGAAGGTGACTCAATAAATGTGATGAAGCTGATTTCCAATGATGGTGGTGAGTTTGATCCACTGGGTTCTATCTTAGAAGATATAACAAACATCTCTCATGGTTTTCAATATTTTATCGTGGCTATTATAATAGAGTAGCACACCAATTATCGATAAATGTTAGTTTAATTGATAAATTTGATGTATGGGGGAAGACAACACCTAAGTTTTCAGTGTCTCTCCCCCAATTACATATTCGTTTTTAACAAAATGTTAACCGTTCCTTTTAAAAAAAAAAAGGGTCCACCATCACTCTCTTCACAATAACACAAACAAATCAAAATGACACCACCGGGACTATAACACCAATAATTATCACAATCACTGCCTTCAAAATAAATATTATATGTTACACCAGCATTATCACACGATACAACCGTTTTATAAAATAAACTAGAAAATATATAAAGTGGACTTCATTGTCCAAGTGGTTACATATTACTGATAATTACTTAATTTTGTGGAACACACGATCAAATTCTTTGGCCTTCCTTCTTGAGCCTTCTATGGCTTTGAAGATAGCCCAATAAGTTGTTCACGTACCCTTCTTGCCTATCTTTGTTCACAAATAATTCCTTCATCTCCTTGACCTTTTCCTTGTAAATTTTCCCTTCTTCCTCAACCATCACCAAGTTCAGTGACTCGGCCACTGAGTTCCTCGTGAATGACCCATCAATCTCGTTTCTAGGTATTGAATACGCCATCTTCTTTTCCTCAAGAACCCTGGCATTCAACCCTTGATCAGCCAAAAAAGTCAGCAAAACCAGAGCTCTCTCAAACTGTATGGCTTCAACCACTGAACTCCAGCCCGAGTGAGTCAAGAACCCACCAACCGAGTCATGACTAAGTATCTTGAGTTGAGGCACCCAACTAGTGCAAACCCACCCACGATCCTTCGTTCGCTCTTCAAACCCTTCAGGCAACTCAATCAACTCAGTATCAGCTGAACCACGTTGCTTTCTTAAGACCCAGAAGAATGGTAACTCGGATAGCTCCAACCCAAGAGCTATCTCGGTGAGTTCGGTTTGACTCGGTTTCGCCTCGCTTCCAAATGCTACATAGACCACTGATCCTTTAAGCTGCCTGTCAAGCCACTCTTTCATTCCTCTCCATGCACCGTCCTTGTCGTCATCGCAGACGTCAAAAGCAGTGGTGGGCAGCTGACCCACGGGAATAACCGGTTTGCCGTGAATCTCTTCAACAACCTTTAACCACTCCAGTTCAAATTCCTCACAGCTCCTCACAGCCACAAAGTCACAGCCGTCGATGGCCGTTCCAATACGATACGAGTCGGAAACGTTGTCGTCCCCCGTTACGCTGTCAAATATGCGCGTGATCTCGAAGAGCCGGAACGCAACCGTTGACTCAAACGGCACCCATTTCGGTGGAACGGTGAAGTCCTCCGGCGTCGTCCGATGAACTTCGGTGCCCTTTAGAACCGGTACAGGCCCAGCAAAGGCCAAGCAAGCTGCGGTGAATATGCTGAAGAAAGCACTCGAAACATTGAGTTCATCTGCGATAGAACCCAACCAGTAGGGTGCAAAATCATAGAACACACAGTCAGGAGAAGAAGTTTTGAGGAATTGAGTCATGGGTTCTTTGAGGCCATCGTAGGCGATCTTGAGGTACTTGACCTTGTTGTAAGGTACGTCAATGGTGGCCTCTGCGTTCTCAGGCAGGTTTTCGACATGGGGTAATGGAAGTTTTACGAAATCTATGAAAGGTGATAAATTTGGAGGCAGTTTTGGAAGACGATCAATGTTTCTAGAGGTGGAAACGTAGGAAACTTTGTGACCCTTTTGGGCTATGATCTTGGTGAGCTCTAAGTATGGAATCATGTGACCAAAGGCAAGCCATGGGAACATGACTACGTGTAGCTTGCCATTTTCTGCCATGGAGATGGATGAACAAGTATGAACGGCTTGGTCTGACCCCAGGGGCAATCTACAAAAAAAGAGTGTAGTTTCAAACTAGACATTAAACTCTATCGGGCTTACGCAGACACCGCCACGTTTACAGCCAGCCAATAGATGATAGACACATTATCAAAATATACTAAAAATTGAAGGATTAATATCAAATTACGCCCGCAAGATCGTTCAAATTTTAATTTATACCCTTAATGATCAAAAATTTTAATTTATACATTCAAAGACAAAAAATTATATTAATGCGCCCCTTAAACTAACGGCCCTCAGTTTGTCGTTTAATACTAAATAAATAAATAAATTACAACTAGACTTTCTTATACTTGTCACTTAATCACCTAAACCTTTCATATTTGAAATATTATACCTATATCCCTTGAGAATTCAAATATGACTAAAAGTGTTATCTTAATTGGGCATTCAAATAATTTTGTTTCACTGATGTATTGTATTGGATATAAAAAATATTATATAAATATTTGTATTCTGCATTATATTGGACATTCAAATGGTAAATTTGATTTTAAACTTTAAAGTATAATGGATTCACAAAATAAAAGGCAATATAAAATTATAATTTTTATTAAGATAAAATCATATTTTTAATAGTTATATTAACAAATATGAACGATAAGGAGTTATATGTTACACGTGCACAAACGTTAATAGATGTAGGAGTGATATTCTAAATGTGAGAGGGTTCAAATGATTAAGTGACAAAAATTAGAGGATCTATTATCTGAATTGACGATACCTTTGTCACAGAAACTCAAGAAAAACAAGAAATGGATGTTTTTAGAAGAAGATATCCAAGAATTAAGAAAATAAAAGAATGAACTTCAAAATTAACTAAGTTTAGATTATTTCTTAAAGTTGATTATATCATCATAGAAACATACATTTCAGACAAAACTTAGAACGAAATCCCTCGTGATCTAGTCCCAAAGAGTGGTCAAGATTCAAATTGTGAATGTCTACATTTATAGCTGATTCATGTTACCACTTGAACTATCTCTTCAAGTTAATACCCTTGTCGTTTCAAATTCTCACATACCAGTCTTGAATCACATCCTATCTCAAGTTGTCTTCCATGTGTTTTGAAATTCCATATAGATTTAGATTAAACGCTTGCCTTATATTTTGATTTACAAATTTGATTTAATCAACACCATTATAACATGGGTTCTTTGGAAGCGGGTACACCTAATTAGACTTAATTGACAAAAAATACATAAAACAAATATTTTGAAAAAAAGTACACAGCTGAATTACAAAGACATAAATACTCATTTTAGGGTTATTTAATTCAAAATCTCTTATCTTTAATGCACCTTGATTCATGTGTGTTTGTTAATACATATAAACACGTATATATATAAATATATATATATACGTATTTATATATACTTCTTGTTAAATCACTTATATACTCTATATATACACGTATATATATATATATAAATATATACGTTATTATATATATTTGTTGTTAAATCACTTATATATATATATATATATACATACTTGTTAAATCTCTTATATAAATTTTGAATTATCTATAATACACCTTGATTCATGCGTATTTTTTTTTATTTGAAAATGATTTTGTTTTGAAATTATATTTAATGCACCTTGATTCATGCATTTTTTCTTTAGGAAAGTGGTTTTATTTTTAAATTAATTTATTTAATATCCAAATAGTATAATAGTGTAACAATAACATAATAATAAATACACTGTAACAAAGACAATGTAACAAATATACTGTAACAAAAACAGTGTTCAGTAGTCTGTACACGTGGTAACAAATTCAAAACGGAGATAAACTATTTTGAATGAAATTATTGAAACTATATGTTGACAAAATGTAATAGTACACTATTTTGTGTAAATTAACAGTGTAATAAATACACTGTAACAAATACACTGTAATAAAAACAATGTTCCGTAGTTTGTACACGTGGTAACAAATTCAAAACGGAGATAAACTATTTTAAATGATATTATTGAAACTATATGTTGACAAAATGTAATAGTACACTATTTTGTGTAAATAACTTGTTACACTGTTATTGTTACACTATTACACTATTCGAATATTAAATTAATTTGAAAATAAAACTACTTTCTAAAAAAATATTCATGAATCAATGTGCATTAAAAATAATTCAAAATTTAAATTAGAGATTTAACAACAAGTGTATATATATATATGTATATATAAGATGAAATTTTAACTCTGTTTGTAAGGACTCTTTTTGTCGTCTTGCAATTCTTAATAAAAAGATAGGTACATGATCAATTAATTGATCTTCCATAGCATTGCAATAGAGACATCAAAGTGAAACCAAAAAAAAATACGCATGAATCAAAGTGCATTAAAGATAATTCAAAATTTAGATGAGAGAGTTAAGAAGTATATATATATATATATATATATATATATATATATATATATATATATATATATATATATATATATATATATTTTGATAAAGTTTTCTTGATCGTATAGATAAAACACAAAATCCACATTCTAAAAGAAAAACTATTGAAAAATATTTAGAGATAAATTCAAAAGAAAAGAGACCTAATTTGTCTCAACCATATTCTTTAAAAAAAGACATTAATAGAACCGAAAATGACATTATTGAAAATGCATGTCATATAAAAGAAACTTTGCCTACTAATGATTGAAAGGACTATTCCTTTTGATCAGAATGGAGATATTTTATAGTTGTTAACTGAACGAGAAGTTTTAAAGGCTCAAGATAATAATTATAAATTTTTGCATATTAGATTAATTCAATTTGCTTTAAAACCTTTAACTCTTCAAGGATTAAATGCTTAATTATGTTAGCATTATGAGAGGCTAGATGTCTTAATTTCGATTAGTCTTTAGTGGGAGTTATGCAATCCAGCTTAAGTACTGGTCTTGTTTATTTTTACTGTTTTCCTAATCTTTATATATCTTTGACAAATAAAAATATTTTGGATGTTTTAACATGCAATATTAAAACATATGGTTACAATTATAAAGAAGGCACAGATATAATTGTGTTTACTTATAGAGTCTATTATAAAGTCATTAATACTTTATGTCTTGAAACTAAGCTTTTGAATCTTAAAGGTCAAACCACTTTAATTGAAACCAATACGGTTAAAAATAAAATTGAAATCTCTAACACTATTAAATGGTCAGAAATCCAGTTTCCAAACACTTGGCAATTGGAGTCTATGGTCCCTAAAAAATCAAACACGCTTACAGAAGTAGTGATAGAAGGTAGAAGATGGAGGATTTATACAAGAGAGAAGAGTTTACAGAGGGTACAAGAGGGAAGGAAGGGAAGAGTAGGTAGAGGGGTGGAGTGGTATGAGATGCTGTATAGGGGGCGGTGCTCCACAAGTCGGGCCTGCACCCCTATTTATAGAAGTCGGACATGAAATCCGAATTTCAAAACTATCATATACTATTCATAACTTTATATTGTTCACTACTTTAATAATTTACAATGACGCCATTGTTTACATCATAAATATTGTACACTTTTTACTGTACACTATTCATAGTTATTATAGTGACGTCAGTGCGTGCGTCACTTCTTCGTAGTGACGTAAGGGCGTGCATCACTTCTTCCGGGTCATCTTTATCCGAGAAATCAACTTTATTTGATCATTTTTTACAAATCAAATTATACAACACATTATCTCTGTGTCATCATAGAGGCTTATCTCCATATCATCATTTAACAAATCTTCGTTAATAGTAATATCACCTTTAAGAGGGGTATATCCTTGGGAATCTATAAAGTTGTCATCAGAATTAATAGGAGTGGAAGATTTTCTATTATTTTCCTCAACTTTATCTTTCCCTTTGTCCTTTATGGCAACCGAATGAGTGTTGACAAGATCCATCTTTTCTGTTTTGCTCATGCCAAAGGTAGACATGACCTGAAGACGGAATTCCTCCATAACTACTACTTTAAGTTGTTCAGAATTTTACTTAGGTTTTTCCTTTTTAATTAGTTCTTTAAGAAGTTCAACAAGATTTAAATTAATTCCAATATTTATACTGGTAATGGGAACAACAAAAGGTGAAGTTTTATCGGTTGAAGATTTATCTTCTTCTTTATCCATGTCTTTAAGACATTCTTCAACAATCTAACATTTAGAGTCAGTGTTGTAATAATTCCAGTAACTAACTTGATATTCCTTGATCAATCTAGGATGTTTGTTGTGATTATAATCACAAGCCAAAGTCCATGCCCAAATCCATGAAATAAAGAATTCAAGCGAGAAATTTATAATTGGCTTAGTTGCTATATCATTGCCCTTTAAGGAGGGACTTTTGTTTTTATACAAGTCAAATAATTTTTTTCATTTTTTCAAGGTATATCCTGTCAATAGCACCATGAATTTCCCACCAATCATAAAACCAGTTCGGAATTTTCGTACAAGTTTTAGTGAATTGAAAGAACCATGTATGCTTTAAATTTATAGCTTCATATAGAAAACCATTATTCCACGCATCAATATAATCAAAATAGTTATATTCTCTATATGGAGTTTTTCTTAATGTTCTGGGGATAGTAAGATTAAGTCCACAGTCTTTAGCAATAATTACCCTTAATATAAGGGCCTTACTATATTGAGGATCTTTATAATCCGAATTATAATTATAAAATCTCTAGAACTTAACAGAGTCAGTTTCGACCAAAATATTTTCATAATATTCTCTGTCTTTATTTTCAGAGAATAAAAAAGCATTATCCAAAGTCATAAATCTGCCAGCAATAAAATATAGATCTGTAAGCCAATTTTCATATTCATAGTCAAGAGTCATTATGCTGCTATAAGCAGACAGAGTATATAACTCTGTATAATTTAGCTTGAACTTAACTATAAGAGCCTCTTTAATAGATTTTTTAGATCGGACGATAGTATAACCATCATTATCTTTATCATAA